ATTTTTAAATATTTATATATTTAAAATTACAATAAAATAGAATATTTTACTGAAAGTAAAAAAAAATTTCGAGGAGTTTTTTAGTTAAAATTTATCCAAGTGTTGGATTATCCACCGACTGAGCCAGGGCTGCAATTGCTCAAGACTTGTCAGCTGTAGAAAAATTTACATATTTTTTTGATCAGTTCTTCCTCAGTAACTGTTAATTACTCTAACAAGACTTTTACCCAATTATCATTATAATTTAATTTTATCCAATTAGTTAAATATTATTTATAAAAATGAAATTTAATAACACTCCGAATTTTTAGTTTACTTGTACCGACTATTTTATATAAAAATATATTTTCAAGTGAAATAGCCAAAAAAAATAAATAAAAAATTTAATGTTTTTAAATTAAAATCTAGTTTTTAAAAAATATAAGCCCCGTAAAATTAATAAAAATCATATTTGATTAATAACAATAATAACATGTGGGCGGTAAGCTGGATTAAATTTTTTTTTTATTTTACACGTCCAGTAAATTTTACTGATAAACTTTAAAAAGTATTGCAGTTATTAAAAAATGGTAAATTTTATAGAAAATTTCTTTCCGTTTGAGATTAGGGGGCCATCCATAAATTACGTCACACGAATTTCAGGGCTTTATCACCCCTTCTGTCCTTGTCACAGGTTGTCACATTTTCAGAACCCTCCCCCCTTGATGTGACGTCACACATTTTTCAATTTTATGCATGTATTTAAAAGTAATAAAAAAGAAATAGTTATTTTCATTTTTTTTTTATATTTATTAAATAATCTAAGATAAGAGCGCCCATTATTGACATTATAAGAGTGACGGCGAACATTTGAATTTTTTAACCGTATTCAAATTAATCTGACTAATTTTTTTTTGTATTAGACACTTTTTTTGATTCATCAACTTGTGTATTTTAATTTTTATACTTAAATAGTCGTTAATTAAATGACAAATATATTAATTTGAAATCACCAACTCAAGTGTAGGTATTATTGACAGGGTGAAATGGTATCGGAGCCAACTATTGACACCCATAGACCCTATTATTGACAGGTGTCAACCCTATTATTCAGGTTTAATTGAAATTTAAACTTCGAATATAATTTATTATTTACTAGTAAACAACAATATTTTGCTCAGACAATTCTTTTTTTATTATAAAAGTACGCGAGACAACATGTAAACAATTCCGCTATGTATGTTAAAGAAATTAAGGGCGGGGTAAGGGGTTTCAATTTCGAAAAATCGATTTTTTTTTATGTTTTATCTTATTGTTTAACATTTCAAGAATATGTCCTCAAAATTTTAATCCGATCTAAGCAATATTCTTGAAGTTATTGTTTAATTAGTCCCGGGGCCTTTAACGCTCTAACTCTAACAGCTACGGGCGGTTGGGATTGCAGTGCAGCTGTCGAGCAGGTATACAGGTTATTTATTGCTATTGTCCTGATCCCATATCCAGTTTTCGAAATATTTCATTTAGTAAAGCCAGGTAACTAAAACCATATAGATATATTTTATATTTGTATGTATACTATACACTACATTATTTTGAAAAAAGAAACGAGCTTCAGTTAGTGATCAGACGTTCGACCGTGCACTTGTAATTTTATTTTTTCAAAAAATTTCCTGAGCAATAATGCCGAGAGTAAGTAAAATTTCACGAGAAGACCGTCAAAGTGGAAGGACCTATTTGTGTCGAGCAAAAAAAAGACCAAACCCGAAAAAAAATTTTTTTGCAGTTAATAATTAATACCCAGGCATAAAATTTTACTTTTTTCTTACTAAAAAATTTCTAAAAATTAATAAAAAGCAATGTTTATTGTGATTTAATCATAAAATTGATTAAATAATCAATCAAATAAAACAACATGTCAATAATAGGGGCCTTTACCTTAGTTAAGAACAATAAACGATCAATTATGTTAATTAAAGATGCAAAACTTAATCATCTTGTGTCCATGGACTTTGGATCCACGATTTAAGTCTACTCAGACCCTTACTATTCAGAACTCTTGAGAATTTTAGTATCTCACTTGCATTAGAACGTCGCTTTAGAAGTTAGATGTTGTTACGTGAGAGATAATCTCATAACGAGAGTGCTAAAGTATTAATAAATATAGATCGAGTTCATAAATATTTAAAGTTTTTTTATTCACATGTAAGTTTCACGTCTGAGTATTTTAAATTTTAACATGTGACATCACAAAGCTTTTGACTCCCCCCCCCTCTTGTCACATTCTGATGATACCCCTTTAAAGTGTGATGTAATTTATGGATAACCTCTTATTTCAATTAAAAAAATAAAACCAGACTGATCTTAAGATAAAATAAAGAAGAAAACTAAAATGGTCCTTTATCGTAGATAAATTTAATGGCAGTGTTGGGCTTATTTTTCCCTCTCTTGAAATAAAAAAAAAAAAAACAAAGTTTTCCAACATTAATTGACATGAATCCAACAAAAGTCCGTACCTTTGGCAATTTAAGAGTTTTTTAATTAGCAGAAATATCGGAAGTTTGCGCTAAATCAATAACCAAACTCAATTACACCATTCAGCCAAGTAATCTAACTATCAAACAAACGTAACATATTGTATGTACATATTCAGAAGAAATAATAGACAAGTTTTAATTTAAAGTTAGTAACCTAACTATAGAATTTATGTACACAGTCAGTCATTAAATTTATTAGCATTAGATTTAAAATATTGCAAAGCAATAAATAATTAATTTTAGAGGTTAGTTGTTAGTTATTACGATCGAGCGCGTATGCGTTAAATACAATGGAAGTGAAAATGGCGGAAACGCAACAGTAGATTGTTATTAACTTGGTGTGAGATTTAGTTTGTTCGTAGAAAGCAAAACTTTCGGACGTAATCATAAAGCAACAAACATAAAACAGGAATTGAGTACCTTAGCAGGTTATATATATGTATACTAGGGTGGCGCAAAAAAACCGACTATTTTTTTTTTTTGAGTCTCGAGTGAAAAAATGTTAGTTTTTGATGTTTTAAGAGCCCTCACCAAAGGACAGCTCAAAAAAAAATTTTTAAGAGGTCACTCCAAATTTTTCAAAATTTCAAAAATCGTCAAAAATCAAAAATTTTTTTTTTTTTAATTTTTTTCTCGTTACGGTATAATTTTATAGATCCAAAAGAAATAAGTTTCTGAAGTTTCAGTTCAAAATTTAAATTTTGAAAGGTTGCTCATAATTTTTTTTATTTTTCGTTAATTAGTCATATCGCCGACTTTAAGTGTTGGGAGTGGTACGTTGGGGTCTTTTTGATTTGAAAAAATCTTAACTTACGCGGCAAGGTAAAATCTCAACCAAGCTGGTTTCTAAAACCAGCTTGGGATTCGAACTCACGCCTGACAGTTGATTAAATAAAATTATTAAATTAAAAAAAAATTACATTTTCTATGTTGTGCTTGATTTTTAGTTCATCTCGAGATGTATTCTTATCGATTATTGTACTAAATAAAAAAAAAAAAAAATGCATGGAATTGTAATTTGAATAGTAAAAGGTCGCTCGAAAAAATCTAAACTAATGCACTAATAAATTGAAAAAAATTATAAGCGACCTTTCAAAATTCGAATTTTGAACTGAAATTTTCAGAAACTAATTTTTTTTAGGTCTATTAGATTATACCGTAACGAGAAAAAAAATAAATTTGATTTTTGACGATTTTTGAAATTTTAAAAAATTTGGAGTG